TGGATCATTGTCTTGTTGAAAGACAATATCATTCTTATTAATATCATACCACCTGATTGTTCCTAAAAGATCATCATTTAAGATTTCACGGTATAATTCCATATCCATACGACCATAAATGCGCACGATAACGTTGCTCCAGTCATTAGTTGTCCACTGTTGATGTTTTTTTGTGAAATTCAAATGTTGAATTCGATGTGTTTTCTTAAGATATGGTTTCTTTCGCTTAATTCGTGAAGAAAGACCATTACGATGTAAAGTTCGCTTATTGTGCTTGCGCTGACTTCGATTTTGTCTTCAGATTTCAGTTTTTTTTTTATGAAAGCTGCAGTAGAACAATCACCATTCGAAATTAGACGTATGATATTTCGTTCGTCGTGACCAGTAAAAATTCTAGGACAACCTGGTTTTGGTAAATCTTTAAAGGTATCATGAGTATCTTTTTTTTTGCTTTATTCTTATGACGATGGATTGGGAAATATTTTCACGGTTTGCAATAAAATGAGAGGAATATCCTTCTTGAAGAAGGTTATAAATTTTGGCTCTTTTTTCGATGGATATATGTGCCACGATAATTTGAATGATATGTGATAAAGAGTATATTCTTAGGTGTATTTTATATAGGGTGTGTGTATTGTTTTTTTTATGTGTTTATATACTTTATTTTGAGGGGGAACGATCAAAAGAAATGCATCGCTGGTTTGACGTAAATAAAGACCAAATAAATAAAGTGGTATTACATTTATTATTTAAATTACGTGAGCAGTTTATTTAGGCTTTTAACTATATGTGTTGAATTTCATATGTCTGTAGCGTTTATATTACCAAAAATTGACTTTTATTTTTTTCGTTTCAGTGATGCATTACTTTTGTACTGTTGCGTCTAAGCACAATAATTGGTCAAAGAGAGTTTTTCGCAACGGGGGCTGAGAGCTAGACTAAATTATTTACGATCAAAGGGTTTCTTTAGGTGTTCTAAAGGTTTCCTGTGGCGACTTGTACGCAAATCGATCTTTTTAATATTAGGGGTGTTAGTTAAGTAACAAATAGAATAGCCTTGTAAAGAAAATTAACAATAAAGCAATAAAATTCTATCTATTGTTATTCGTTGGTTATCAAAACAATCCCAAACACAACAGAACTCATTGGTACGGCCTGTGCAAAGAAAACAAAATTAATTCAACAGGACTTATGCCTGTACAAATTAACAATTCAAAAGAAATCGACAGCTTATTTAGAGTGGATGAGCATCCACTACTTGCAAGGTTTGAAGTTTGATCACAACACAATATAAAACAAAAGAAAATAATAGTGTATTTACAATTAATATTATTACTACAAGTAAGAACTTTGTTATTTTATTCGATCAAAGCATGTCTTCTCAGAGACTCAAGAACGCTTCTAGATACAATCTTGAATTACTGCACTAATCCTACGCTAATTTTAAGTTTAGTAATTTACATTGATCTTTCAATTGTCCAGATAATTGTCGTCTTCTAGATAATCACTATCGCTACGTGCATTAATATTGAAAAACGACGGGAATGTTTATGACACAAAAAAAGGTAATTTTAATTCATAACGAAATATCTAATTTTGGCTTTCAATACGAATTACACAAGAAACTAATTATGGAAGGATTATCATGTAGGAAGTTATGGAATGATATTCATGTGGAAATTAACGTTAACAGTACGTACGTATTTGTGAAGATCATCATTGAGTACATATTCAATAGCATTTCACGCAGAAAATGATTTGCGTATGCTGCCTTGGCCTGTTCAAAGTCCAGATCTCAATCCAATCGAGAATCCGCGAGATGAGACCAAGAAAAACCATACTACCTTGCTGAACTTGACTGACAGGTCAAAAAATCATGAAGATACTATCGAAAATTTGGTTAATAGCATGCCACAGCGAATTCAAGCTGTGATTGCGACAAAGAGAGGCACAATTACTTAGTACGAAATATAGCTTGATCAGCTTGAAATAAAAGATTATTTAGTCTTTTCGTCGTTAATACTTTGAAATTTTGGGTTTATGTTAGGCAATATAGTGTTCGGAAACTTTTGCCCACCCTCTGTATTTTATTCCTTCGAGTATGTTTATGTTTATGTTTGAAACTTAATTATATTAGAAAACAAAAATGCACTTTAAAAGTTGTTCATTTTTATCTCGTTTATAAAATCTAATGTAGTGATCTCAATACAACTTCTATTTCTTTAAATCATATAATTTTATTTTCTCTATGATCCCACAATATTGGTTTGCCCAATAAAATTTCTTTATAAATCGTTCCAAAAACTCCTTCTGCAAGATATTTAACATCGGAGAATCTTTTATTCGAAAGATTTATCAATTTTCGCTTGTGAGAATGTAAGCATTCATTGCAGATGTACGTCATTATTTAAACACCAAATAACATTTACTACAATCATGAATATTCGGAATTTTAGACTCCCATCTTTAATTTCACTATTGCTAATAAATTTTGAGTAGCTAATAGTGCTATAAGTTAAACTCCAAAAAATAGTCTACTAATGCATAGTTAATTGCCATACTAATTAGCGTAGCGCTAATAAAAAATGTTCTTTGTTAATCTAACCGAAAATTTTATATTTGTGATTTGATTTGGTCGGTCAACATGAAAAACCTGCCACTGGTAAATGCTAATTTTTTATATGTCTGAAAAGTGTTTAGAATGAAAACAAGCTTAAATAAAAATCTAAAAGTCTTTTAAAAAGTCCTTCTGAAAGGCCATTACCGATTCCGTATACTTCTTCAGTCTAATTTTTCAAATACAAGAAACATAGTCCACCGAAAATTATTACGTCTCTAAAGTGCAATCAAGTGATTCGACATAAGCGTGTTTGACTAGTCCTGGCGCGGATTCTTGGAGTTGCGAGACAAATGTCGCAGATTGTTTGATGGTTACATTTGTTATTAAAAATCATTCCGGCAATGATGTTCCAAATAAAGTTCCAATTATAAGTAATTCGAAAATGCATTAATACATGTACCGTAATTTGCTATTTAGAATACCCCACCCCCCATAATAGCATACCCCCATGAATTGTACCCGGTCCGATGCATGGTTTACAAAGTGAGTAAAATGTAACGTACTGTTACCGAAGTAACAATAAATTCCTTAATTCCATAATTCCGGTTCCCAAAATCCCACATGAATATCTTTCCA